CGTAGCCCGGCCCTGCGGAGGGTCGGAGGAAAACGTGTCCGTAGCTGTCTTCCCGCTCCCTTCTGCAGCGTTACTTTGAGATGGAGAAACTCTCTTTTGACCGGGGAGGGAAAGCACTCTTGAAGCCTCGCAGATTTTGCCAGCCTGGTTTTGTTTTGTTTTTATGCTGTGCTCTTTTAGCTGTTTCCTTGTGCTCTGGGTCTGTTCAAACAGACCTGCCCCGTGAGCAGGGGTCTGGGAGGCAGTTGGGAGAGGGCTCTGTCAGCTGTCCTCTGGTAATTATCTTGGTGTATTATCTTGAGCTGCACTTCTGGCTTGATGTTTTTGACGTTTCTTAAACAGTTGTGATAGGTGGTGCTATTATTTTTCTAGATTATTTAAAACTTAATAACTTTTCTTGCAGATAAAAACCTAGAGAATGCTGAAGAAGCAGCAGAACAGTTCAAGTTAATCCAAGCAGCATATGATGTTCTCAGTGACCCACAGGAAAGAGCCTGGTTAGTAATATTTCTCTCATAGTAGACTTAAAAAGACTCCCTCATGTTCTCATTTCTATCTTAACCCGGTCTGTTTTTGAATTCACTTCAGATTTGGTTTGGCTGGTAGTCTGAATAGAGCCTCTATAGCAGGTGTGGTCAGCCTTCCTAGTGCTTTACTCCAGACTTTTAAGCGGTCGAGAGCCGTGCAACATGTACTGCCTGCCTCAGAAACTTGAAGAAGGAGCGACTTGGAGAGTAGCGTCCTGGGGAGACACAGCTATGGGCCCACATCTTTCTCACCGTTCTCTTGTGAGATGGTGTTGGGTGGCCGTCTGGGTGACGTGACAGTGTTGGCCTCAGTTTGTTTCTTCCACAGTGGGAGATAGTTTGCTTACTAGCACGGGTATCCCTCCGTTCGTGTGGTATCACTGCAGTCTGAGCCACCCTGTTCAGGAGCTGCCTTTAGGGGAAAAAGGCAGCACAGCAATGGCTAAATACAAGTGTTTAATATGCTGTTATCTATTGCTGCAGATAACATGCCTTAATAACATATACTCTGCCACGTTGGTAGTCAGGTTTCTGTAACAATTCTAATTTGAAACGTGCACAAATATTTCCTTTTAGGAGATTATGTTACTTTAAATGTTCTGTGCAACTTGTCTTTCAAATATGCTGAAATCATGTACCAGTTATGCCGCTGAGAACACCTGTACCAGCTTTGTCCTTCTTGAAAGGAAAGTACTGTTATTCACTTTTCATATGCTAATTTACAGTTTGGGGTTTGCGTAAGTATTGGATGGTTTGGGTAATGTCGTACCAATTTCTGAAAACTTATTGAAACATCTTGCCCCTGTGGGGTTTTTCTGGTGTGTGTTTGTTTTTTACCTCTCTGAAGATGTTGTACATGAGACATGAATTCCAGACACTGGGATAAGCTATATGCTGAAGTTATACAAGTACTGTGTTAGGTATCTCTTATCCAAAAGGGTATTGGGAATATTCTGTGTCATTTACATCCTTGATGCTTTGAATTTTTGTAGGTATGATAATCATAGGGAAGCTCTGCTGAAAGGAGGAGTTGATGGAGACTATCAAGATGATAGTTTAGATCTGCTGCATTACTTCACTGTTAGCTGTTACTCTGGATTTGGAGATGATGAAAAGGTAATGAACTAATTCATCTTTAATGAATCAGTTTAAATCTCATGAAATATGTCAACGTTCACTTAATGTTGAAAAGCTATTCATAGAAATATTGAACACTGATAGTAATAATGTCTCTCTAAGACAAAACCTACACTGGGTGTTTAATCAAGTTTTAATTCCTGCTTATTGTCGAACACTACTTAGCCATGATTTTCAACTATACTATACAATTACAGAGTATATGTGTATGTTTTTATATAGCGAAGCATTCCCGTAAGTACTATGTGCTTATTCAGCAATATCTTTAAAAAGCTGGAATGCCTCATGCTAAGGAAAAGCAACATAATAGCAGTGCATGGGGCAGGGGGAGGATACGCTTGCTGCAGTCTAATTTCCTGTTGGATTTTAAGATACTGATCGTAACTTTAAAAGCTTCAGGTTGTTAGAAATATCTCTTCCTGAGACTATCCCTATCTGCTATTACGGTAGTAATGAATTAGTAACATTATAATTTAAAACGCAAAGATATAAATAGGGTACTTCATAGTGAATTTCATATTTGGACCTTCCTCAAAACTTGGTCCTATGTAGCCAGAAATGTATCCACATCCTCAGCGTGCTGCAAAAAATACTTTTTTTTGTTTTGAGTTGAATACAGGTGCTTGGTGAGAGACAGGCAGAGGTAATAGACAAAGGAGATGGAAATAAAAGGCACGGGAGAGAACGGAAACTTTATTATAAACAGAAAGGGTCTCATTACCTAGCATAAGTGCTTACAAGGCCTGTACCCTGGTTGAGAGTTGCTGTTGCAAACTGTAGTATTTCTCTAAAATCCGCTGCAGTAACTGAGCAGTTACGCACTTACTATTGAAGCATGCAGAATGAGTCACAGGTTGTTTTTTTATTTTCAGGGATTCTTTACAGTCTATCGACAAGTTTTTGAAAAGATTGCAAAAGAAGAGATGGAATATATGACCCAGGAAGATGCTGAAGAATTCCCTACGTTTGGATATTCCCAAAGTGACTACGATAAGGTAAGAGCAAGCGTTAAAACTAGAAGTAACACAGATGTGTCACACTGAAATCAAAGAAAAGCCTCCTGCTGACCTTAGTTGAATACAAAACCAGATATCTGTCCTATTTTCTACTACTGTAGACCATTACTATTATAAAGGAAGTGTTCAAATTATGATTCATGATATTTAGATGAATCAAAATTGTTATTTCCTGTTGGACTACGTTATTAGCCAGGCTTTTAGTGGTGAGTTGTCAAAACCATGCATTTCACAGGCCTAACCATCAATTATGCCGATGAAATTTAAGTGCTATGCAAAGCCTAAGAAGCAAAAGAACAGATGTTCTCTTGACTTCTCAGTGAGAATAGTTTACCGGTGCTCTAATGCAACATACCTTACAGAAAGGGCTATTGAAACACGGTGGTGTGTGCTTTTTTTTTTTCCCCCTCCTGTTTAAACAACATGAGTAGTATCTTGCCTCATTTAGGAAAACTAAAATGCATCATTACATAATGCAGACTACGGAACCTGAGAGACATGGTGATTGACCTACAATGGGAGCTCCCACTAAGATATTCTGGAAGTTAAATCTTACTACAGAATAACGTAGGTGACAGGACCATCACGTTCTTTCCTTAGGGAAGTGAGAAAAGAACATGAATGGGACAGACCTGAATTCTTCTCGTCTGGTTTACCAACTATTTGTTGTAGTCTATCAATCTTGCAATTTTTTTTTAGGGTTACCAGTGTTTCTATGTTGAATATAAATAGTCCCAATGAATGACTGAATAGCATCAGCGATCTTAAATATTTCTCCTAGTATACTACTTCTCCATGGCACTTTTAGTATTATTGTATTATATGACTAGTTATTTATGAAATGTAATTGATGTATACCTTAATCTGAGAAACTCCTGTGGTATGAAACTTGGCTGGAGTTTGAAACAAAGTTACAAATCAAGCTGAAATAAATGTCAGAATGGTTCTTTGGATTTCATGTAAAATTTTAGGATGGCTTAACAAGTTAAAATCTTTCCCAGGGAGAAAATATTTAGCGTCTCTGAAAATGCTGACAACTGTTTTTTGATGGAGTGAGCTTGAAACATTTTTTGGGAACTGCTTGTGTAGAGGCCACAGAATGGATATGATTATAGACCAAAAATAGCTTTTATGCTGTCAGCTAATAACTACAAAAATAGCTGAAATTCTAGCACCAACATGATTTAACATCTGCCTTGGTCAGACTGATTGGAGAAGGAAGCAGAACATTCACCATTTTTAGTAGGAGCAGGTGCTTCTTGGGGGTATTTCAAGGGAAATACCCTAATTTAAATTTCAAAGTCATCGTCCCTGTTTGCTTGTATTCAGAAACAGCGATTAAACTGTTGGGAGGTTCCAGCACTCCAGTGTCCACTTCTCTAGTCAGTGGGAGTATTGTGGGGAAGGGGAAAAGAGTTTTAGAAAGGACCTACAAAAATTATCTAGAGGCTTAAATATCTGTGATATGAATAGTCTCCAGTCCGGTCTACTGAGCTTATTCACAAGTTTGAGAGGTGACCTGATTGATCAGTACCAGGCAACCAATGAAAATGTTTTTGAGTCTGTGACTTAACGAGACTTCAGGAGAAGAGAAGACATGTAGGTCAATTAGATGCTGAAACAAAAGCAGTCAGCTCTAACTATAGGTAGTAAGTAAAGCAAAATCCAGCTGGGAGTGCACCAAGAGCTGGTTTACTGTTGTGTGGAAAGGTGACAGAGATGTGCTTGTATTTCAGGCAGTCACTGAGCAGGAGGAAAGTCTCACAGCTCGTAAGAGGGGAGGATGATCCCTGTCATCAGTTCATGGCCATGTGTGTCATCATCTCTCTTGCTCTGGTAGCCTCTTGGACAGAAAACATCCCTTTCTGAAGCAGAAATCTGAGGCAATAGAAAGAGAGGCTATCATCAGTGAGATTATTGGGGGCATATACGTAGCTGAGTTTTTGTTATACTAGAGGGAAAAACTGCATAATAACTTGCCTGCCAGAGGCTACAGTCATGAACGTTGGCATATAAGTAGGCCATCAGAAATTAGTGTTGAGAGGCTGATGGTTGTAGCCCATATGAGTACCAATGATGTAAGGAGAAGAGATAGTAAAGGCAAAATGTAACCTCTTTGGTTAAAAACCTGGACGTCTGCTGCTGTGATGTATCCTGAAATGCAAGCGGTAGTGCATGGAGGGGTAAGCTGTGAAAATGCAGCTTAACGAGGAAAACAATATAAGAAAGAGGAGTTTAGAGATATTTTTCTCTTTCTTATATATACAAAATACAGTTTGCTAAGAGTTACTTGGCAAGGAATAGAGAACAAAACAGAACATGACCATTATGCCGTTTTATTAATCCAGTATTTACTCATGAGCAAAAGGAAGGAGAATTAGGAAAAATTGTTCAGTTTCTTGTAACGTGAGAGCTAGAGGATATCATTTTAACTTGTAGTCTCATAATTTCCTAACAAAACAAAAGTAAGCATGTCTTCACATAACTTGTAGTTAAACTGTGCAAAACATGGCTCAAGGATATTTTAGATGCCAACGATTTATATGGGTTAGAAAAAGAAAAATTAAGGAAAGAAAAATCTATCAAGGGCTGTTAAAAAGTTTTTTTCTCTCTTGCTCTGGTAGCAGAGAGAGTATGCTGGGATGAAATAGCATTGTTACTTGCTTTCTGTTTTGTTGCTCTCTTTGTGTTGGTTATTGGCCAATTTTGAAACTGTATGGATGACCTGTGGTGTAACTTGGTATGATGGTTGTTATGTAATGCAGGCAGACACTTGCTTGTGGACAGAATATCTGATTCTGGGTGTGCTTTTCAGTTTGATAGACAGAAGTATAGCAAAGTCAAGTAGCTGGGCACTAGCATTAGCCCAATTCAGTCTTGAGAGGAGATAATTCATGGGAAATTGGAGTTTGGAACAGTTTAGTGGACGAGGTTGTTGACTTGCCATGGTTTGAAACTTTAAGGAAGGTCTAGAGAAACCTCTAGTGATTTATTGGTGCTTTGGAGAAAATTGTGGCCTGTATAGGAGACACAAAACTACTACGAAAGCCCCAAATTATTTGGTACCTTTTTCCCCTCCTCCCTAGTAAAATGACTAACTTAAATCTTTTTTTTCAACAGGTAGTCCACCCCTTCTATGCATATTGGCAGAGTTTCTGTACTCAGAAAAACTTTGCTTGGAAAGAAGAGTATGACACACGGCAAGCATCAAACCGCTGGGAGAAAAGAGCTATGGAAAAAGAAAACAAGAAAACGAGAGAGAAAGCAAGGAAGGAGAGGAATGAACTAGTCCGTCAGCTAGTTGCTTTTATTCGTAAAAGGGATAAAAGAGTACAGGCTCATAGAAAACTTGTGGAAGAACAAAATGCAGAAAAAGCTAAGAAAGCAGAGGAGTTTCGGAGGCAGCAGAAACTCAAACAAGCCAAGTATGTACATGCAGAACAAATCTTTTACTTTAAGCTTGGAGAACAATCCATGATGATTATAATAGTTAGATTCTAATAGCAGCTGCACTTGCTTTTTTAATCATCTTGAAAATTGTTTTAACTTTGGTCTTAAGTCTGAGATTTTTGAAGCTGAGTGCATCTGCATTGTACTGATATCTAGAGGTACCTGAGATAACCAGGGTGTAGTTAAGTCTGTGCACTGCAGGTAACTGGTTGCAGTAGCACAGAATTCAGTGCGCCTTTACTTACCTGGGGAAGTAAGATTTAATCGTGGTCCTTATTGGTTCAAAACAAAAAATGGATGTTAGAGAACGAAGGGAAAAAAGAACAGTAACAGCCTGGGCTTAGGTGAGCTTAAGTGGCCTTGGAACCCTACCTGCTAAAAAGTGAAGTAGAAAAAATGAACTCAGTTTTGCTTTTTCTTATGATTGGGCAGAAGGGACCCTCTCATTTGACAAAATGTAGACTTTTGTGCTTTTATTCTTCATTCTCTTCCTCTGCTTAAATTTTGTGGAATTCTCCCAGTGTAGGCACAATTTGGTCTTCAAACGAGGAGAGCTTTGTGTCTGAAAATGGGAGGAAGGAGCTTAAATACTTTACTTGTTTTGCAGATGTACTTTTACTGCATCTTGCATTTAAAAAAAAAATCTATTTTACTGAAGGGAATGAAGCAAAGAGGTATGCATTTACTGGCAAATGGCTTCATAATTCTGAGTCCAGGAGCTAGCTGGACTGAAATTCAGCTACCCAGTGCAGGGGCAACTTGGGTCACACGGCGTATGGAAAACTGAGCTGGTACATTCCCATAGCATAGAGTTGAGAGGTAATGTGCTTATGCTTTTATGTTGCTGTGCTGTTTATGATCTCGCTATAGGTAAATGAAGCTGTACTGCTTTTAGGACTGAGCTGATTTTCCTGCTATCGATTTGATATTTGTACCATGCTGCCTAGTATTTCCTGCCTGAAATTCAAGAAGGATCTAGCTACGTTAATACCTCCTCACTTGCAGTGTAGATGTGCCCATTGACATCACAAACTAACTGCTCGAATTTCCAAGCTCTACAAACAATTGTTTGTTCCATCATAACATGTTCAGGAATTTCCTCCTAAAACACCTGAAATGAACAAGTGACCTTTAAATAATACTATTTTTGTAATTCCCATCTCATAAACACAAACGTAGAAGTTACTGCATTATTCTACTTAAAGGCTTGCTGAACAGTATAAAGAGCAGAGCTGGATAACTATGTCAGATTTGGAGAGAGAATTGCAAGAGATGGAGGCACAATATGAAAAGGAATTTGGAGATGGATCAGATGACGAAGATGAGTTAGAAGAACGCGAGATAAAAGAAGGAATAGAAGGTATGTGTGAGACCAACAGTGAGTCGTGGCTAGAGTATCGGCTTACTACATTTAAAGCCTTGAGATCTAGATTCACAGTTCTAAACGTAGTGCCACTCTCCTGCCTTCAGTGGAGGTGTGCCCAGTTAGAGTACTGGCTCTTCTGGATACTTTCCGTTGCACATAAGACATCAAGATACAGCTGCTGATTTATGCTAATACATGGTTTGGTGAAATAATCTTGATCCAGTGCATGGTGGTAATACCAAAGAAGTCGAGTATCAACGTTGTGACTATTTGCTGGGGCTTTAAGAACAGCTAACTTCAAAATCACTCATCTAACTTTCTCTCTCCAGTTCCCATCTCTTCAGACAAGTTGAGTGAGGAGGCTGAAGAAGCAGAATGTGTTGATGATCTCTACTGCCCTGCTTGTGACAAATTGTTAAAAACTGAGAAAGCGTAAGTTTTTTTTTAATTTGTTTTTGTTTTTTGCTTTTTTTTTTTCCTGGAAATCTTGGGAAAGACCCTTTATCTTCACGTACGGTCAGTGTCTTCCAGTAGAGATGGCATCACTGTCAGGGCAGAATTTTCCGTGTTTGTACTGTTGGATAAAGGGTTTGTTATTAATTTATGTGTAAATATAACAATATTCTCTCAGAGCTACTTGCAGTAACTCCCTGGTGGTCTTCACAGCATGAAGAATCATGAAAAATCAAAGAAGCATCGAGAGATGGTAGCGCTGTTACGGCAGCAACTAGAGGAAGAAGAGGAAGAGTTTTCTGTATCTTTGGATGATGCAAATGGAATAAATACCAAAGAGGAGGAAGAAACAGAAGAGACACCCAAACACAAGTATTTTAAGCTGTTTTAACTTGCATAACATTATTGTGACCAATCACGTAATAAGTCTTGGAACCTCTCAGTGAGGGCTTCTAGTTGGATTTATACTTTTGTTGGAACTCATAATGTGCAATTTAAAATGTTTCTTTGTATTAGAGTTCCAGTGATATGCTGCTTCTAATATGGCTAGATTCAAATGCTGTAGGATAAGTCTCCTGTTTTTTTTTTTTTCCTGCTTTTTAAAGTACATATTAAGGAATATTAATGATGGTTGTTATTTTTCAGCCAGAGGAACTTGTTACAGAAAATGACTGTGATTGAAAATAGATTTGAAGAAAGCAAGTCATTTTCTAGTTGTGGCTACTTCCCCCTAATTTCGTGTTATAATGACTTGCAAAAATATAACTTGCCACCTCTTTAAAAAGTATACTTGTGTGTGTGTTTTTTTTTTTTTTTTTAAAAAAAGGTAATCTTTTATTTTTATCTTCACAGGCTCTCCAAGAAGCAGAAAAAGAAACAGAAAACAATGACGGTATGGAGTCAGAAATTACGAAATTCAGGGAACTTTACAACTTGGTTTTGTCGTCTCCTAATTTCTCTTTTTGTGTCCTGAAAAGAGAATTTGAAATTCTACAGAACTTCTAGAAAGTGTTTAGATATTTTTAATTCATCCTTGACTGATGAATGATTTATTATATTATTATCATAATATTTTATGATAATAATCATAGACTTCATTTATGTTAGGATCTGTAGAAACAGAAAAATATGTGGTGCTGGCTCCAAAAAGCTTATGCACAAGGGAAAAGAGAACAGGTGGAAACAGGCAGATGGGGAGAATGCAAAGAATTGATCAGAAAGACAATCAGTGGTCTCAGTGCATGAGCAGCTTAACTGTTTGCTTTTCATTTTCTGTGTTATGGTTGCTTAACTTGGTATCATAATTTATTGTCTGTAAATCACTAACTTAAAAGGTAACATGTTGATACTGTGTAGTTGTTGGAACCAACACATCCATTCCACCCTACCACTTGAATTGTAAACAATGGTAATGCCAGTCTGTTGGGCTCCAGGATCTGAGTTTGTCTGTAATGCGACAGATCTGCGCTGACAGCAGCAGGGAGAGACTCAAGAACTGTGAGCTCTGTTTCAGGCTTTTGAGTGGCAGGAGTGCCCCAGTGAGCAAACTGTTCTGCCTTGTTTCCTTAAGCTTGATCCTATTCAAATCCTCTTCCTTACTTATCACCCACTCCTGGTGTTGTTCCAGGGAACTCCCTTTACCATGTCTTGCATCCTCCATGGTTTCCCAAGGTCTCATGTCTTTCCCCAGCCTATACCGTCTAGTCTCCTATCCTGTGCTCTCTTTCTTTGTCCTCTCCTCCATCAGTATCTCTTGTCCTTGAGATACTCCTCCAAGACTTTCAAGCAAGCAAATTTTTCTTGCTTCCACTTTTCTTGGTTTTGCATAGTTGCTCTACCTGCTTGTTTCCATCCCGCCCGTCAGCTTCCTGTCCAACTCTTGTCCCCTCAGTTACAATCAGAAAGTCTTGTCCTTGCAGTATAGGTTGCGTGTGGGGGACTTGTCTCCCTGCCAACAGTTCTATTACGAGGTCTTCTGCAGCCCAGAACGTGGGTGGCATCTCACATAGCATGAGCTGGAACGTTTTTAGTGTGGAGAGACTCTTGTAGAAACTTAACTTCCATCCTCTACCAAGCTTCTACTGAGCACATGTCAACTCTAGTGTTTTGTTTTTCTCGAGGTTGGTAGCTTAGCCAAATTTTGCCAGACAGTTGTAACGCTGCAAAAGATACTAGAGGAGATACAGTTACATGAAGATAGTGTTATGTCCATCTTGTTATCCTGCCTTTAGGAGCTGAGCTGTTTTGCTTCACACATGCCCGGGGGTTGACTTTTTGCCAAACTTCATGTCCTGAGGCTAACACTCACCATGCTTCAGCCCATGGGAAAGGTTACTGGTGTTTTTTAATACGGGGGAGGAAGAGGGAGAATACAGCATGTTTATGTCGCCTCAGTCAGCTGAGTTATTTTGGCTTCAGTGTCGTAATGCAGATGTGCAGCACAGAAAACTGTAGTCCAAACGACTAACGTTTGGCAAAGTTATAATCAAAACCATTATTTTATAATGTGAAATGGTAGCCAGAACAGTATGAGCCCAGCGTATAATTAAAAGCTACTGTCACTGTCCTCTTCCATAGTCCTAGAGGCTACATGTTAATGGTGTTTCTATACTGATTCTTCCCTTCATCACAGGTGCCCGCACCTTTCAAACGAAGATAATTGAGGTGTCAGTGAAAACACAGCATAAAATTACAGGGTTGATTGATAGCTTTGTGTGTGGTTTTTCCCCCACCTCCTCCTGGGTGAAGTAAATGACTATTATAAACATAATTGCTGATTATCTTAGAGCAGTTAATTTACATTTCTTCTGTTTGGACAGACTTACGAGGACTCTCTTGACAAAAGTGCTGATGAAGAAGCAGCTGAACAAAAGGAGGCGCCCAGTGCAGACAAGGACAACGGCTCAGCAGAGGAGCTAGTAAATGATGGCCAAAGACAAGCTGTATCAGAGGAAACAAGTGCTACAGAGGATGTCAGCCAAGTGAACGAAGCAAAGAGTGAAGTGAAAAGGTAATTCCCTTTGCACTGGCTTGTAATATAACAGTGACTATGTGATTCCATGCCTTGTTTGATACTGTCACACAAGTCTAAGTTTTCTCAACAGAGTGAACTGGAGGCTATTCCGTTAAATCAATAGAGTTGAATAAATATAGTACTAAACAAGGAATGTTAGAGCCTAATTTGCAAATGTCTTGTGAATACCAGTTGCTGCCACATCATTTACTAGTAGTTGATTCATCATCTAGCTAAATCCTGCAATCCACAATTGATAGTCTAAATGAAATTGCTCTGGTTTTGGTGGAAACACTTATGACCTGTTATGTGAAGGAAGGTGGGGGGAAGAAGCAGAGACACTGACTGAAAGCAATCAAAAGCTCTTAAAATATTATCTTGAACGTTCCTGTGCTACACTGATCTTGGTTTCTCTTTGTGTGTCAGCAGTACTAAGCCTAAAGGGAAAAAAGCCAAGGATGCAAAAAAGTCTGCTAAGGCATCTTCAGAGCACCCAACAATGGTATGTCAAATTACTTAAAATCACCGGTTTCTAAATAGCGTAACATTAAAATCAGAGTTGTTGGTTTGATCACCCTCAGTCCACAAATTCTGTGTAAGGTTTTTGGTTTATTTTTTTAATAATAGTTTTAAACAGGTACATTAGAATTTAGGAGACCGGAACATTAGCTTGCATCTTTTCAGGGAAAAGTAGCAGTGCTCTCACTACTGAAATGCAGTCCTAGTGTTCTGCCTCCATGAGTCTCACCAAGGCAGTTCAAAACAATTAAATTAAACACACTGAAGACAGAGCTGTTGTCATCAAGCAGGTGACAGGCAGTACCATTTTGAATCTCTTCCAATATCGATACTTCCTCAAAGGAGCAAAACCCGGTAATACTACAACTAAGACATATTTAATTCGGTAAATCTCACAGCCCAAAGAAGTATGAAGAAATATAGTCTTTAGTCAGGTAAGATCTGAACTATTCTTTATCTTAAAAGGAGTTAGATTTGCAAGGCTTCTGTCTCTGTTCTTGGATCTACTTGGCACTCCTTAATGTTTTAAGAAGTCATATTTGTGGATTGTTAGTTTTTTGTTTTTTATGTGTTAATCAGTAATCTGATATCCATTATAGAAACAGGCAAGAAAATGTGAATACTAAGCTGTTTAAGAGAAGCTGCATACCACAAACTGGTGTATTTATTAGATAGCCTATACTAATGTGAAGCTTTTTTTTTTTTTTTTCCCCATCCTTGTAGAGTGAAGTTCCCATCCATTGTGTAACCTGCAACTGTGCGTTTCCATCTCGGAATAAACTATTTGAACACCTAAAAGCCACAGGTCATGCAAAAGCAACACAAGCACCAGCTGTAAACGGAGCCGTACCCACCAGAAACAAAAAAGAAAAACGTAAAAACAGATAGAACTTTGTGTTACAGTGACAGTCTTCAGAATTGGATGTGAAAACTCTCTCAGAATTGAAAGGTGTGGATTTCCTGTATTCAGAGTTAAACGGAGAAGGCTACTTCTAATTTTGGGGAAAAAAAGAAGATGCAACAAAAGGAACATTATATTGTGAAGCAACCCGTGCTTTCTTTTGTTTGTACTAGCCTTTCTTCAATGGCTGAATTTGATCTACCATCCCAGCAGCTTTCAAGTTGTGGTGGTGACAGAGGAAACGGGTAAACCCAAAGGCAGTCACCTTGCATGGATACAGTACCCAGTCAGAGGAAATAAATTATTTTAACACTTATGTTGCTTTTTTTTAAACTGATTTTAAGTTAAAGGATGGACTGTACTGCTTTGATCATATACAAACAAGAAAAGGAAAAAAGGGCTTTTCTACTATCTACAAGCACATCACCTTTCAAATTACTTAGAGAGAAATACTAGCACGATGATAAGGTTGGTTAATCATATTTTTGACGTTCTCCACTGATTTTCTACGAGCACCTGCAGAGAGTTGGGAAAAAAAAATCCTATGGAGGAACATTACTAGACTAAGTGAAGGGGGGAAAAATGAATGACAACTGAAATTCAATGCAATTATTCACAAGTGATTTGCATGCATGAAGAACATCCCTAGGAACATATATGCATAATGCCCAACTCTGAAATAGGTCTTCATCACTTGAGGAGGAAAAAAAAAATGGTGGGAGGTAATAGGTACAAGCTGGCTACTTGTGTTCTTGTCTTCTAATTTTGTAATGAAGAACAAAAACAGAGGTACAATTTTAGTTCTGCTTAAGTGTACAGTCCATTTGATCATAAATGCTGCATACACCTTTAAAAAAAAAAGTGGAAATGGAATTAAAACCAGCTGATTTTGGAATTACAAAATGATTTCACAAAGCGCTCATCAATGCAGTAATAGAAAGCAGCAACATCAATGCAGTAATAGAAAGCAGCACTCAGCTAGGACAGGGGTGTGGTACTTGTGTTAGGAACTCCCTAGAGTAAAACTTTGTAGACCCAACCATCTTAATCTTTTAAGTTCCTCTTAAGTTCCAGCTCATTACACAAAATGGCAGAAACTCCTCTGCAAAGTTAACGTGGTAATTTTATTGGGTTAGGAAATGATTCAGACTTTACAATTGGAATCAAAGTAAAATGACATATGTGCAGTTAACACTTTTTTTTTTTTGGTTGGAGCCTGAAGGAAGTAATGAACCAAAACTTTTTTTAAACAAATATGATTATGTAAGATAGAAATACATGGCATCAGCCATGCTTTATGCCTTGTTAAATGGCTGTACTATGTAATCCCAAAGCAGCTATCTAGTTGGGTATGAGGAAAAGAAAACCACTTTTTGGGGAGGATGTTGATAAGGATTAGTGCCCCATGCTAGAAGTAATTACAGAAATTAGAAACTTTTCCATTTATGTGCATACAGACTTTTTGCTCTAATTACAGTGTATCCTTGCAGTAAGGGTAAACAATTTTAATGTTGTTTGTTTGAAAGCTGCAGTTATGTTCTGCTCAGGGTGATTCACATCCTGGGATTGGTTACTCTTATATAAATGGAGTCTCACATCATGGGGCAAAGGGGATGATTTGCTCTGCAGTATTATCTCTTGGCATTGATTAGTACTTTTTTTTCTTATTTAAGGAAGTAAAAAGACATACTTGTCTGTTTCACAAATGTTTGTACTTTAATCTACACAATTGGAAATGCTTGCTGTTGAGGTCTGTTAAAACTATTTACTATATGCTACTGTAGTCCAAAGAAAGTTTATTAACTAAGGATAGTTTTGCTTTTTCTGTCACTCTGCTTTCTAAAAATTATTGTTGCCTATAAACTTAAGAGATAAATTACACAGTAGTTGTGTCAGTGCTAAAGTCCTAGTGGAGACAGAATCCTATCCTTTATTTTAACAGCCATGTGTGTTTCAGCCAGTTTTGACATGAGTTTTGTAGATGGTACCAGAGTAAGTAGAAGACATCAAGTTAATACAATTCAGTGGGTTTTTTTAATACCAACACTAGAAAAGGTATGTAACTAATACAAAACACTACTGCAGAACACTACTGAACCACATGTTTACAAAACACTTTCTTTCTAGACTGTTGTGTAAAAATGGTCATCTTATACTGAACAAGTATTTCATCTCCAGCCTATGATTTTTCTTGTCCGTTGTAGTTTAATTATAGAATTAGCGCAGAGACTAGATGGCAGATATCAGGGGTTCAATGAGCATCTTGTGTGCAAGGAACCAAATCCAGTCTATTTTTCAGCTGTTCTTTCCATGTGTCTCTCTAATGCAGTACGAAATACTTCCACAGCAAAGTCTGCATCCTTTTTAGTAATGCACATAGGAGGTTTAATTCTAAATGTCTGAGGAGAGAAGGGAGGGGGAAGAAACTCTTAGAATTGTATGGAAAGAATACAGGTTCTAGCAGCCCACTTAGGTCAGCACTCACCTTCTGCCAAAAAAAATCTTAACCAAAAGTGGGAGAAATAATAAATAGGAGAATTGCACAGCTGGGACCAAGGCATCTGATTAATTAATGCACCCTGAAGTGGGGCAATTTTGGACTTCGTTACATCAAACTCCCCGCTCTACTTCTGTGACAGAGTAACTGCTTCCATAAGAGACCTGACAAGATGAGATGATGTGTGTTCAGGTCTGTTGTTCCAGATAGAGCTGGTATAAAACCTTAGGTGGATTTGTACCAAGAAAGAGCTGAGACATAGCAAAACTGCCAGAAAGGAAACTTTGTCTATAGGGAAAAGTATTCTCTGCTGAGAGTGGCAACCTCTTGCGTTGTGCTGATTTGCTGTCAGGTAATTTGCTATTGTTTTATAGCCTTTAATTCTTAGAGAATGTATTACTGAAAGTGAGTATTTAGTGATTGTTTCATGAGGGTAATACAGTTTGAATGCCTGTTGATCAGGAGTGAAGTACATGCAGATTAACATGGCAAGAACTTAAATTCTCAAATCCACATGTTTAGTCAGTAGCTTCCAAAAGTATTGAACCTCTATAAGACTATTAAATGCTTAGTTTAAGTTTCTCTGTCATCAGGCCTTTATGCCTGTATGGACCAGTATGGACTGGTCTTTCCCACTCACAGCCCCAACTAAAGCTGACAGACCTAGATCAATAGCATTCTTAGGAGACAGAATCAGATTTTACTACACTCTAAGCTGCGGGCTGTAACCTGTGTTTTGGTCCACGGTTCGTGGAACAACTGATGAGGTGACAGATGCACACTGGCTGCTTCCCTTTAGCCATCCCACATCTATCTCATATACAAGTTCCTTCCTCTAAGTCAGAGGGTTTAATTGACCTGATCATCCTTAAGGCAGTTCTCTGTTACTAGTTTAAGTGTTTTAAGAAGCTCCTGACACAGTGTCCTGGTACAGCGTGGTATATCTTAGAATGGATTGCCCATGGCAATTTCTTCACGTTTTTGTGCTGCATTGCT